ACGGCTAGGGTGAAATGTCGCGGACGACATAACAAGTGTGACGTTAGTTGACACAAAACGTGTTGTTGTGTCACGTGTAATTTGGCTGGTAAGAGATGTTTGCATTGGGAATGACATGTCATCAGAAGCCTACACGTCCATCACTGGAGGCTCAAGGCTGGAACGAAACTGGATTACTAAATAACACTCGCCGATCCTATGGCCGCCATTCGGCTTGCTGTTCATGGTTTGGTTTAGATGGCGTGGGTAGGCGCAAAAAAAGCCAGTTATTTAACATTTTCCGATGAATAACTGTAGATGAGGCGTGCGATGGAAATCGTATGACTAAATTCCCTTGGTCGGGGAGATGATGAGCAATCTGAGTTGCTGCGCAAAGTTAAGGATAGTAGGCGGATTGGTATTCATTCCTTGAGATAGGCGCAATCAGATTCGCGTCTACTAACGCAATATTGGTGGCGAGGGATTGAGAGGAAACGTGGCTGCTAAAATTGCGTGAAGCTTGGAAGATTGGTCATCAAATGAGGCGAGTTGCCGAGCACTGTCCTCGTGGCGCCGAGCGTTCGACGCAGACCCGGCGTAGGCCGATCCAAAGCGCCCCCCCCCCCCCCCCCCCCACCAGACACACAGACCCGACTGGGGCCGGTCCAGGTGTCCTCCCGGCACACAGACCCAGCAAAGGCTGATCCAGAGGCCCTGTCGACATGCAAACCCGGCAGAGGCAGATATATGCTTACAAAATTGGTTTACATTTTGCATCACGCACATTTACGAAATTTCGGATAAATTCCTCATGAAATGCCACGCCTTCTTACTGCATGCGCTTATGCTAGTTACAGCTCTCACTACTTGCAACTCTTTTGTAATTATAAACTCAAAAGCCGTCACAGAAGGGTGACTGCCGCTATTTTATATTTGGCACCCATGGAGTTTATCACAAATGCCCTCTGCATTTAACCATCTGAACTAATGTCCCTGCACATGACATTGGAAATACTCCCGGATAACTCTAAACATTAAATGAGCAACATATCTTGATAACATCTCAGAACTAAGAAGCTCGATCTGAGCTCTAAACAGCACTGCCTTGCTTCAAGCACGGCTGCACGCCCCAGTCAAGACACTGGGCCGGTAGCCAATAACGTGACAAGCAGGCACATGGGCCGGCAGCCAATTACGTGACAGACAGACGCAGCAGCGTGCCGGGGCTAGGTTGCGGCGCTGTTGAATGCACTGGAACATGTCCCATGCGCACAAACCGTGGCCTTCGGGTACACCGCGGAAATAAGCTGTAATGTTTTTTTTTTCTCTCGAAATGATGTATGAAAGCTTTGGCAGGTATGTCTACAAGCATGGCAATCTTAGATGAATAAAACCAAGTTGGACGCCGTTGAGCAGATAGGTTTTTGTTCGTGATGGGCAAGGAGGGCGGCGGAAAAGCTCAGTAAAAGCTGCTTTTCGAATGAAAAAATGTATGCTATTAATAACCCTGACAAATTCGAATGATTCGAGAGTGTATACAGTTCACCTTCCTGCCCGTAACAAGTAAGATATTCCTGGTCGGCAAGCAGCTAACGCTAATAAGCTTTAGCAGCATGGTAGACACAGTTTAACTAACCATCATCTTCCCTTCCCGACTTTCTAATCTGCTGACGTATGGGGGGAGGGGGAAGGGGGGCAGGCACAATGCGTCCACAGTCAGCCTTCAGTCCGTTATCCGCTTGAGATGACCTTGCACGCTGATCTGGGTTTCAGTCAGTGATACACCCCCGGCAAACCTGCCCTCAGAGGCGTCCGTCCCCGGCTCACCCCGCTCCAGGTCGCCGGCTGACAAACTGGCGGCGACCGCCGCTTGGTCGGCCTCCATGATGGAGGGCCGCTTGCCGCCGCCAGAATGCCAGTCGGCGGGATTCATGCCACTAAATTCAAGCGCGCCAGGGAACTACCCGGTCTCTAATGATACCGGCCCGTAATTCTCGTCCGTAAATTAATGCGAATTACAGTGGCCATAACTTAGCTTTAGCGCCGGCGGTCAGAGAGAGTTACGGTCCAAATGGGAGATATAAGTTAGCAAATACGTCCCGTAAAGTATAATCACTATCAGGCAAAATGAGCACTAACCGTGACCGGTCGGCACTGAGTGGGATTGGCCGAGATTTGCGGGCAGGCAGCGGTCAGTAATGTTATCGCGTGATTTGTGGCCCATGGTCCGGCTGACCGACAGGGGCGAATGCAGGGACGACATGGAGGTGAAGACAGCGTACGGATGAAGTTTCATTAAGGGGCGGACGAAGGGGCTTGACATAAAAGGACTAATGGAGTGTTCAGTTGTTCTTTGAGCAGGCCGTGCGCACAGAGTAAGCTTCAACCTCCCCTCCCCTTTGGAATTTATTATGTTTATGAATATGCATATGACAGAACGCTGACAGTCCAAAGACACAACGGAAAACATTAAGACAATGTCGTCCTTTTGAGCCATGCAACCCAATTTTTTTTCATGAAAAAATGTCAAACATTCTCCGAATCCAACGCCATTGGGTCGAATTCTTGCGAAATCGCTTAGCATGCAGTTTAAACCTCTGGCTCAGGGCGGGCAAGCGCGGGAGGAGGGAGGGGGGGGGGGAGGGGCGGCTCTCTCCTTGGCTACAGCCCTGACTCTTCAATATTAACACCTCTAGCCACATGCCGACTCACTCGCCATCCGTGACGATGTTGAGGGTGGCCATCGACAGAACACTGCCCTGAGAGGAGCATACATCCCCATTAGCCGAGAAGAAGGACTGCATCCTTTTTTGCCTGCATATGATTCGCCACCATCTCACACCGGAAACCCGCAAATTCCTAACCAAGCTCACGACTTCCCTCAAGTCCTCTGCTGTTGTAGCGCAGTTGTACTTTGTGTCCTGTGCCCCTGCTGGGGCGGGGGTGGGGCGGAGGCGCGCCGCCGCCGCGGTGTCGAGTGTCAGGTTCGCAGGCCGCCGCAGTGTCGAGTGTCAGGTTCGCAGGCCGCCGCAGTGTCGAGTGTCAGGTTCGCAGGCCGCCGCAGTGTCGAGTGTCAGGTTCGCAGGTCGCCGCAGTGTCGAGTGTCAGGTTCGCAGGCCGACCCCGGCTCGCGACCCCCGCTGTCGAGAGTCGCCGTGGGGAAAGCAGAGAGGGCAGGCGCGCTGTCAAGGGCTGCTGTTGTGCGAGACTTAAATACAGAGAAGCTTTGGTGAAATACTTGGCGTCCCATTACAGCTGTCTCCGTGCCCAGCCTCTAGAGTCGGCTCGCTGCGTGTCATCCCGGGCACAAGATGTCCTGTACTTCAAAGCTAGGGTCGCCTCGGGGCGCGTGAGGTCGAGATCGCGTCCCTCCGGTCCTGGAGGCGCTGGGCTGGGCCGGCGTGGCTGACCAGGTTACTCATCGCGACGAGCACGTTCGCGACATCGGCGTGTTTGGGGCCCGGCGGGCCCTTTGCTCCTGCGGCGATACGGTCCTGGTTCACGGTTCCACATTAGTACTACAACAAACAAAAAAACCGCCGACAGAGTGCTGCGGCATGGCTTCCATTGTCAATACTCATACACGGCATTAGTGCTACGCGACAAAAGTTATGCTTCAAAAATGTATGCTCGTCACCATTTCAACTGCAAGAGCATTACAGTCATTTCTTTTGCATGCCATTACTTCTGCTGTAATGCTTATATGCGACACTGGTGCAACACGACAAAATGAATTCTTCAAAACCTTATACCCAACATTACCTCCTGTGCAAAAACTTATGCAACCGTTGTTTATACACGGAATTCCGTCAACTGCAAACATGTATACACCACATTAATGTTATAGCAAGTAATGTCGCGTAGAAGTGAAGACTGTATGTTTTTGCTGTTTGATTAAGGAGTAGCATAAGTTTTCACAGCATTTAGGTTTTTATTTTCGATTATGTGTTGCAGCACTCACATCGTGTATAAGTCTCTACAGTAGAAGAAACGCCGAGGATATTTAAAGTTTGCATACGTCTCTGCAGTAGAAGTAATGTTGCGTATAGCTGCTGCCCTAGCACTGCTGTCGGTAAAAGTTTTTGTCCCAGCACTCATGTCGCGACATTATTGTTCACCGCTCGCGCCGCTACCGTCTCGAGCGCCATCTCGCGGTCGGCTGTGGCGAGCGTTCTGTCGCTACCCGTCGTCCGGCTGCCAGTCACAGCCTCTTCCGGCACCGTCTGTCGTTGCAGTCACTCGGAGCATGGCAGTCTTTTATCGCTACTTTGCGATCTTCGTAAGTTGTTCGTTGCATTAGCGAGGAGCATTATTCACATCAACAAGACAGTAGTAGTAGCTTTATTCCTCGGAGAAAAACCAGGAGAACGCAGATATAGATGGATTGGTATTTCGGCAACATGCCTTTATCGAAACGATAGAAGAAGTGACTTAAAAATTGCCTGCCGATGATCCTACTCGATTTTTCAGTTTTTTTTAAACAGCAAGCCACAGTTTTTACAGGACACCAACATTCAGGGCGTCAAGCAAAGAGCGATTGCGAGCCATTACCACGATACAGTGCCTGTCTAAGAACTGCTGTCTTACTCATTTCATAGACATTTGCACATCACAAATTCATCATATCGCGGATCCGCACCGAACGTTCGAGGTATTTTTGGCGCGTTTAGGTCATGGATTTGTCACTTTTCGTGCTATACCCTAAAACGTGTATGTGATATGGCTCGATTCACACATCTCAAACACCTGGACTGATTTGTAAATCAATGCGAGCTGGGAAATCGAGTCGATATTGGAACTCGTTCCCAAAGTCCCGCTCTTTTCCTGGTCTAAAGGAAGGGCGAGACCCGCCTTCTCCGCTTGCTACTGGAGTTGGGTGATGTGCTACCGACGATTGTGTTATTAAGAACCTGATAATTTCTGTGTAAAGACGGAATGGAATCATGAGTAAAATACCACGTGCTGGGTATCAGGACATTCCATGTACAGGCGATAATACTATAACAGCGTGATGCTCTCACGGCCCTGTGGCCTAATGGATAAGGCGTCGGATTCCGAATCCGGAGACTGCAGGTTCGAGTCCTGCCAGGGTTCGAACATTTTTCACAATTCCTACCGATTGTGTGTAGTTGCCAGCTACCGACTAACTAAACACATTACCGGTTTTCCGATAAGCGTAATGTGCGAAACGGAGCCTTAAGATTATTCCTTAAGATTTCTGGGTTGTTGTTCCCTGTTCACCTACAGCTTGGGCTCGAGCCCACGACTTTAAACAGAAATTGGGCCCAATCCGCCGGGAATACCGTGGTTTGTGTTATTTTCCATTGCTCAGCTCTGCTCACCAACAACTCATTTTGCGAAACTGCAGGTGGCGGCCATTTTCGTTTCTCTGTAGTACCCGCGCAGGCTGCACACTTCACATACATTTACAAACGTTTAAGCGCCGACATGAGGGATTAAGGCAAGAATGATATGAGATCCGAACAGTATGGCGGGCAGCACCTTCGGCCAACTCAGTCTCGCAGGTAGAAGTGCGAGCTGCATTTGCAGATGACCGTATGCAGTCTCTGGACTCAGAATCAGCAACGCTGTCCATCAGACCAGAGAGTCAGAGCATCAGCCAACACCTGGCGGGGCGCGACGGCGGTGCGACGTACATTTTTGAAAGCGTTCCGGAGAAGCGAGGGATGGAACTCAAATTTCCTGGTTCTCCTCCCAGCCTTTGACGGTCTAACAGATGAATGTTGCCATCAACTGGCAGAGTCTGAAAAAATTTTCGTCCTACATTTAGTTCCAAAAAATTGTATTGGTTATTATCAACTTGCAGCAACATTATTATACCGCACAGCCTTGACGGGAGACACAAACTTAAAAAAAGATATAAACCGCAAAGTTTACTTTATTTCGGCCAACACGCCCTGATCAGATAAGTTTTGAATTTCAAATTTCATGGTGAACCATAAAACCTTATTTAAAACTTAATAACAACTCGGAACGTAGAACGTTTATGGGGACTTATGGGGCCGGCAAGTGTATGGCAGCATCGTTCCCCTTTCCGACTAGGACCTATAGCACCATGCCGACACAGCCGTACTTGATAGCAGGAAGGTGACCTTGCGCTGTATGACATTCAGGGACGTAGCTAAGGGAGAACCAAGAGGGCCGTGCCCCCCCCCCCCCCCCCCCTGAGCCGAGAGTTTTACGCCTCAATACGGGGCGGGTTCGCAGGAACTCTGTCCAAATGCGCAGGATCTTATAAAACAAAGTTGACATCTGCACTCCTCATCCTGAACAAACTTTGGACTACTTGCCTGATAACATACACAGGTGACTTTTCCTGACCGGTTGAATAATCACTGCCGCTCTTCCAAAGAGTCAGAATGTTCGCACCATCATTCAGTGGCATGAATCATTAGCAATTCTATGCTGCATTTCACAGGTGGGCACAGCCGTAGCCAAGAGGTGGGTACGGGTCTGCAGGGCTGTCCTCCCGTCCTAGACTTGCATTTTTTGTCATTTTTCTCAGTGGATGACTCCTGAAAGAAAGTGAATATTCAGGGTGATGCATTTTCACTGGCCTGCGCTTCCCCTCCCCTTCCCCCTTTAAGAAAATCCTGGTTGCGTCCCTGCAAGTGTGTACAGCGTGCACGTAAAATTATAAATAATGTCAAACGTCGTGTGGTCCAGGCCCCGCTCTCATGCGAGTTGATACTAAAAATTGCAGAGATGGCACAACGAGCCATTTGGAGGGTGTGTACGCGATTACTCGTTGTGGATCTCCACCGTAAAGAAGATCGCCGAGGAGGTAAAGGAGCACAATTAAAGCCGTCTAATCACACCGTATTAATATGCCAAAGTTCATACACTTCCATAAAACCATTTATTATGTCTGCATGTCACATGCCGACATTTTTGGGCCTCCTCTCTATAACGGGCCTCCCTCTAGAGACCCCTTTCAGTTGGGGCCTCCTCTCTACAACGGGCCTCTCTCAGCTGTGCCTCTTTCAGCGGGGCCTCTTTCAGATCGGCCTCTTTCAGCTACAGCCTCTTTCAGCTGGAGCCCCTCTCAGTTGGGGCCTCCTCTCCGCAACGGGCCTCTGTCAGCTGTGCCTCTTTCAGATAGGCCTCTTTCAGTTCGAGCCTCTCTCAGTTGGGGCCTCTCTATGAACTAATGCCTGCTCTGGGTCAAGACGGTGGTCTGCTCATAGTCATGAAGTGAGCCTCCTCGTAGTTTGCAGAGATCCTATCCCGCATCGCCGTACCGGTGACCATGTCTGTCTCGGCGAAGGCCTCTCGCGGCATCCCCGCGAACCCCAAACAGCCAAGGTATCTGCACTCCCATGTTCAATTTGTGTGTCAATGCACTTGCAGTGTATGATGACGCCCAATGCCATCATTCCGTGCTTGATGTTTAACTTGCATTAATGTGCTGTAGATGCAAGCTTAAAGGTGGGGATGAGCAGTTAAATGCTTACGAAGAATGCCGTTGGTATTCACCGTTTTTTTTCCTTGATTAAATTTAAGCTCATGCAATCGTAAGCGCTTAGGAACATTTCTATTTGTAGCACTCAGGCGCTGATTCTAAACCACGTGTCAGCTTGCGGCCTAGGAAAAACCGCTTGCGGGTTTGTGCAGACATTTCATAAAATAATTACTGCGGGACGTTATTTAATTCTGAGCTACGGAGCGAAACGGGTTTTTAGGGTCCCATAAAAACTGGCAGCTCTAGTGGTTTCTACACACCACCTACAAGCTAATCGGTTACAAAACAACAGGATGGAAGCTCGGGCTGCCAAATCCATGGAAGGCTCCACACCACACGACATGGCTGCTTAGTTGCCCTGCCTACCAGCAATTGACATTAACGTAGCCATCGGTGTGTGTGACTGATCTGCATATCACCATTACCATACCGACGCAGTGTGTCACAAAAAAAACAGATTCAACGCACTGACTCGATTACTTCGCTGCGTCGTGTCGTCAAGCGCAATTTTAGATGCACATTTTTGTGAATATAAAAATACAGTGCGCGCCCGTATGCACAAACTGTGCGCAGTGTACAGCATCTTGCGCTGATCTGCAGGGTCAGACCGTAGCAGCGGATGTCCGGGTGTTGAGGCGTCTCAGCAGGGCCGCGGGCGTGACACAGCGAGCGGTGAGGTCAGGGGGTCAGCTCGCGGCGGCCGCCGGCTCGCCCTCGCCATGCGACCCCGGGGGCGCAGCTCACTTCGCTCGGATGGTCGATCTGCTCGACTAACTGACCTACTCGGATGGTTGATCAGCTCTACTGACTGATCTGCTTGGCTTGCTGGCTTGCCCCTCACGCTCCCGCTTGCTGGTTTGTCCCGCACGCTCAGCTCGCTGGTTTGCCCCCTCACGCTCCGCTTGCTGGTTTGTCGCTCACGCTCGGCTCGCTGGTTTGTCCCGTACACTCGGCTCGCTGGTTCGTCCCGCACGCTCGGCTCGCTGGTTTGTCCCTCACGCCCCGCTTGCTGGTTTGTCCTGCACGTTCGGCTCACTGGCTTGCCCCTCACGCTCCGCTTGCTGGTTTGTCCCGCATGCTCAGCTTGCTGGTTTGTCCCGCACGCTCGGCTCGCTGGTTTGCCCCTCACGCTCCGCTTGCTGGTTTGTCGCTCACGCTCGGCTCGCTGGTTTGTCCCGTACACTCGGCTCGCTGGTTCGTCCCGCACGCTCGGCTCGCTGGTTTGTCCCTCACGCTCCGCTTGCTGGCTTGTCCTGCAAGTTCGGCTCACTGGTTTGCCCTCACGCTCCGCTTGCTGGTTTGTCCCGCACACTCGGCTCGCTGGTTCGGTCGCTCACTCTCGGCTCGCTGGTTTGTCCGCACGCTCGGCTCGCTGGTTTGTCCCTCACGCTCCGCTTGCTGGTTTGTCCTGCACGCTCGGCTCGCTGGTTTGCTCGCCATGCTCGTCTCGCTGGTTGACTCGCCGCACTCGGCTCGCTGGTCTGCTTGGCTCGTTGATCGGCCGTCACGCTCGCTCGCGGCAGCCGTCTGTCACTTTTACAAGCCCTCGTCGCGAATGCATCTTCCAACTGCAGATAGGCGGAACGGCGGCCAGACATAAACATCATCAGTCTATTTTATCTCACGCAATAAAGGCTGATTTATGGGCCAGCAGCGATGAATTTACAGCCTGTGAGCAGAATCGCGAGTCTGACAGTCCCGAGGGCATAGTCAAGAGGGGCACATGGCAACGGCATGGCTAGCTCTCAAAGTGGGTCGATGTTAGCTCTCGGTGTTTAGCTCCAGGTTAGCTCCGGGTGTGTCCGATGAGAGGAATCTGTTGCGAATCGAGCCCTGGAGCCGGAAGCAGCTGTGACCAGGGCGGTCGTCGACCTCGGAGTCAACGTGATCCCACTTCTGGCGCGAGTCACGCTCGCGGGAATCACCAACTCCTGCGCGGGGCAGTTGTGACCCAGCTTTAGCTGAGGGGCTGGAGCGCGCCCTCTGTGGCCGGAATCGGATGCAGGCTTAGCGCAACAAACATAGGAAAGAATCGGTGACGGTTTGCGTTCTTTTGCCCTTCCCCACACCCCAGTGTTGGCTTGCCCCCCTCCCCCCCCCCAGCGCTGGTTTTGCTAGCCATATTTCTAACATCCCACCTAAAGCTTGCATCATCGAGGCCTTATTCACTGGCTACGATTATCATGATGCTGAAATTTAAAAAAGCTTCGTGCATTCAGATTTGAATAAAACATCGAGTGGCGTTCGGCTACTCAAAAATCTGCCCCAACAATATCCCCAAGCAGATTCGGGAGACAACCACTACAGGTTACTCCGCACCCAAACCTGACGGGTCCTGGCTCCAATGCATTGACACGTCACACCGATACGCGGGACAGTTGGCAAATGTTTGCATTGCGCTTAACAGCGTACGACCACTTGCATACAGGAACGCAAATGTTGGCTACAGCGACAGCCACAACGATTGCGTGCTATTGCCTCAGGCGAATTGTATCAGTCCCGGTAACGTGGACCTCTGCCGACGAAGACCCTCGGCAGAAGAAAGCCCGACCGTGGCAGGCAACTCCGTAGTCGGCGCAGGTCGAAGAACCGGCGCGGTTTTTTACACCGAC